GTCTATTTTTTTCTGCAGGTACAGTACATATGCATGAATCCAAGAAGCTAATTTTTGGCTTAAGTTTGGGATTCCTTGAATCCCATTATTGGGAGAAAGGTGTACTGTTAATTCTAGACACAAAAATAAACAACACTACTGCTGCCAATGCTTTGCCATCAACATGGCCTTCCTGGCTGTTGTCAGTGCCAACAAGGTCTCATTGTCTAGGTCTTATTGTCTTCAGCTTTCATAAAGAAATTCCTGCTCTACAATAGATAGCAATGAACCCAACTCCCTTAGGTCTACCTGCAAATTTGCCTGATTGTGCACCTATTCCCTTCCATAATGTTGACATAGAACAGGGCTATCCTAAGTTCCAAAACTTGGGAGGCTGTAAGACCTCTTGGAGGTCTGAAATCTTCACTACCACACATCTATCTCCTATTTCTTTTCTTACTAAATGAATGTTTGGGTTTTTTTAAAGGAGTCCTTGTGCTTATTAGCAAAGAGCAATTTTGCTATGTTTTTGGTGCCTCCTTGGCTGTATTAGGGCAAGGAGAGGAATTAAATTGTAGTCAACATCCTGTTTACCTTTCTGCTTTAGAAAATATCTGTCCCAGGTCTAATTTAACCCATGTAAGGAAGAAGATGAACATGACCTAAGGGGCATGCAGATATTTTAATAAAAAATTAATTGTGACTTGGGCTTCAGGGAGTACTTTGGGTACCTCAAAATAGCCTTGGGGAACCACATGAAGCTTATGGATGTCATTTTCTTAACCCTGCTGTACAATATGGTCCATACAGCCTTTGTTCATGGCTATATCAGTTACCTATGTCAGAAGATTAAATGGGGGATATTATTTGCCCACAATTGAAAAGAAGCATGTGGTGTACCCTGTGAATTTAACTATGGAGGTCTCTTTACTTTCCAGTCTCTATAATTCGAACACTGTACTGCATACCAATGAGGCTTTGTGGTGAGTTCTTTCCCTCTGTTCTTCCTTATAAGAACATACATACACGCATCCATCTACATCTATACCTAGAGCATACTGAAGAATTGCCCTTTGTCTTTGTCCTGTCAGAGACATACATTGCCGTATAGCAAGAGTATGATAGTAAATGAGAGAAAAAAAAGAAATCATGGTTGGGCAAAGATGCAGACTATTACATTGTAGATACCACTTAAGAAACAACAGGCATTGTTAAAATGTGCAATTGCATTTCCGCAGACATTAAAAGGCTCATTACATGTTTGCAGATAAATTATACATGGATTCATGGACATAGCATTGAGGCATGACAGTACAGCATTATATTAGATGCATAAAGGAAAAAATTACGCAGAGATATCTGCTGAAAAGAATATCTACTTACCAGGACAGGGCAGAGCTGTGTGTTTTCAAGGAGTATATTGACTGAATACTCAAATATAGTTTTAGAGTTCATAATCAACTTTCCTCATGTTTTGCTGACCAGGTGTCATTGGACAACAACTTTCATCCTCCCCAGTGTTAATGAGAGGTTTCTCGGGATCCTAGTGCAAAGAAGAGGAATTAGTCCTTCAACCTTGCTCCTTGTGAACAATTCACATAGAAAGCTTCCAAGTCACATCAGATGTAATCGTGCATTTCAGATGTTGTCTTCCTTAGTCTGGCTTTGAGCTTGATGTCCCCTATTTCTTTTAAACTCAAAATGCTTACCTGGCATACATGGTTTGGGTACAGGTTATCTACAGGATCACCCACATTCTCCTGTACAATCCACCCTGAACAATTAAGTCCTCTGGGGAGTTCCCTCTTCCCTCAAAAGAAGGAGAAAATGTATACAAACACCTCAACAATGCTCATCCATGACACAAATTTCTCTCTTGATGTATCTTTCAAATATGGCCACATTCTTGGGAAAGGGGAATATAAATCACAGGCCACCATACTTATTACTACAACATCCCAGTTAAGGATGGAATGCTAAATTCAAAATTATTCTCAAAAGAATAAAAGAGAAGGGGAAGACAAAGCATTTTGCTACCTGAGGTATATTATATATAGATATGTGTAGACAGAAACAGACAGACAGATACATATATTGTCTGCAATCCAACAGCTCCTCAACATAGGATTGCAGCCTTAGAATCCATGTTTTGTAATATAAAATAGATGAATGAATGAACGAATAGTGCTGATACTCTACACCAGTACTGCACAGCCCTCCTGCAGATTAGGAACTTTTTTGCAACACATGTGGAGGGCTCAATGCCATGGCACAATGTGCAACCACAATATGCAGGTGTGATATGAAATTTCACTGTCTCCTCTGCCAGCAGAATGTATATTATGACATTGTGATCGATTGTCCTACACACCTACAATCATTTAATCATGCATATGTCACTAATAGGATGCCAGCCAATATGTGTATATATAAATGAACTGGAATGGCTGCTGAAAATTAATTTCATTGCTGGCAATAGATTCTTCTCCATATGTGAGAGCATCAGGATATTTTTTAGGGGACATTGTATAGGCCACATGGCACACACAACTCTTCTCCAACAGAAGATGTTCCTACACAGCTGCCACTGCTATTTTCTAGAGTCTATCGCCAGAGGCAATTGCCACATGACCTAATGACAGGACAACCCCTACTAAAGGGATGAGATTTGGAGATAGTCCGACTGGAAGCTGAGCTAGAGGCATTATACAAACTTACAAGTTACAGTAGATTTTACTTGACTTCTCATACTTTAAATGTAAAGTTTGTTCTTTTATGGGGATTTTTAATGGAAAGTTTATACCTCGGACAACATACAGATGGATTTTCAGTAAAACCGAATGCAGTGCTTGACATTTCATTTTACTGCTGAGTCGTTTTTAGTGCTGGTTTTAAATGTTAGACGGATTTGGTTTCTTTTTATTTCTTTTTTTTTTTAAGAATGGTAATTTAGTGCTTACAAAACCAGGACTGATAATACTGACTAGATCCTAAAATAGCATTACCACGACGGGCAAGCCTACCCAAATGTGCCTGGCAACATTTCAGTCTTGATATTTAACACATGCATTCCATCTGTGCACCCTTCAAGCCTATATAGGTTATCACTCTTGCCAACAGCATTGATTTTACAAAGGAAAGAAAATTTATAACACACAGAAATCAGATCCGCAATGAAGTCACCTTTGAAATAGAACTCTCCCCATATCCAAAATAAGTTCAGAAATCATTCATAATTGTGTGATTTCTAACAGTGGCTATGTGGCAAGTTTACAGATTTACTAGGGTTTCTACAAAGTGAGTCCCCTATTTCATCTGTTCCCTCAAATGAACCAGTTCTAATAATATTTGTTGTTTGCTTAGGATGAGTTAATTAATCACTTCAACTATCTCACACATTAATTTTTTGGGGGAAAAAACCCTGAAATGTCGTAAATGCAGGTAAAAATCAAACTGAAATCTGTCGAGTTTTTATTATTTATTTATTTTTGTTAAACTGTCTTTGAAATAGAACCTGATGTATGACAGACTATTATTTACAATTCTGGCCCCATCCTTTCCCAACTTGATGTTTTCAGGAAACATTAAATAAACTATATCATCCAGCAAGCCCATGATAACCATGCTGGCAGGAAGGCTATCTTGTAGAAGTATGAGACATGTGCATATCTTCCTCTTCTCTTGAATACAATCACTAATGCTAGTGTAATGCACTTCACCTCAGAAAGTTGTACGTCCAGCCTGCAGTAGTAACAGCAGATAAACAGGGCACCTTCGGTTCAAATTATTTTGTTGTGTGCTTTCAAGTCATTGCTGATTTATGGCAATCCTATCATAGTGTTTGCTTTGCAAGTTTGCTATTGCCTTCCTCTGAGACTGAGAGACTTTGTTAAATTCAACATAGCTAGCAGGTGTGGATTTTAATATTATTTTTATATAGAATTGGGGTTCATAATTGGGAGACACATCTCCCACATGGAACAGTGAGATTTAATCGTTCCTTGTCAAATTGTTCTGATTATTCATAAACTCTGTGACCTGCTAAATATATAGTGGTGTTAATTCTATAACCTCTTTGACTGCAAGCAACAGACAAAAGAAGTAGATTACAGTTTAACTCAAAATATACATAATGTATTCAGTCATGGCCCATGACGCTTCATTGCCCAAATTTCCCTAGGACCAGGACTAAAAAGTCTTCCTTCATCCTTCAGACATCAGTGTTTATTTTCATCTATCCAACCACTCTCCTGGTCCCTAAGGGATCAACCGAAAAAGGGCACATCATTGTGGGACATAGTAGGATGAGTCTGGGACAGACCATGTTCTCACTGTTCATCCACATTTAACTCATTCAGTTGATCTCTTTGGAGCTATATGTATATTGTAGGGCTGGGCAACCACAGAAAAATTTGTTTCTAAACTCGATTCGTTTTTAGGGGGGGGGTTGAGTTTCGTTTTTTAAAAGAATTCCGAATTTTTTCTTTAAAAAAGTTCGATATTTAGGAAATTTAGGAAATTACGAAACAATTTCAAAACAATAACGAATCGATTCGTTAATGGCGGACGCGATTGCACAATATGCTAAAAAACCCTCCAAATAGGACAGGGGGAACTTCGGAAGCTTCCCTCTCCCTCTGTTGTTGACTGTTGGTGTGATAATTTATTTTTTTATCACTGATAAAACAAACAACAACTATAAAACTTGCACCAGACATACGGAAATAATAACGAAACAATTACGAAACAATTACGAAACAATTACGAAATAAATTTTAAAAATTCGTTTCGATTTTTAGTTGCTCCTGAATGGTTCAATATCGCATCGTTATCAAAAAATAATGAATTAATAACGAATTACGAAATTAATGAACGAAACCGCCCAGCCCTAGTATATTGCTATTCAAATATCAATATAGATATAGATTCCTTTCTCTGTATGTGTGATTAAACCATCTCTTATTCACTGAAAATATTCCTTGCTTTTAGAAAATATCTCTCATTCTTCTTTCTGTTTTCAGGCCCCATAAGCAGTGTCCTGGTGAACAAATATGGCAGCAGGCCAGTCATGATGGCTGGAGGGATACTGGCTTCCTTTGGAATGATTCTGTCTTCTTTCTGCAACAGTGTGATAGAGCTTTATATATGTATCGGTGTTATTGGAGGTAAGGGATCCCCCCCCCCTTTATTTATTCCACACATTTAATTTCTCCCCTGATGTTTTATTTCCATGTGCATCTTCGGATATTTAACTACACCCCTAAATAGTCTGTATCTGATTTTTATCATGATCATTCAACTTTCTGTGTCTGTTTTCCCCCTCCCTACAATCCTTTTTCTACATCCCACAGTAATTACAGCTTAAGAATTGATTGATTTGTGACAGCATTTATTATAACCATCGGTACTTCATTTTTGTATCAGTTTTTTTTAACCAGCAGATGTATTTACAGGCAACTAATATACAAGGAATGAACATTTTGATTACATACCAAACTCCAAATTGTGCTATATGTTTATTGACAGAGTAACTTGTAAGAAAGTGTTCATGAGAGAACATTATACCAGGAATAATCTTTTAGATGTCTTTTTAAAAAAGCCTATTTGAATTTGGTGATACTTAGTCCAAGATAAGTGGATATAGAATTGCAGCCTTAATAATATACTGAAGTCTGAGGATCAGAGTTGTAAAAGACCATAAGACAGTAAAAGTCATGGAGTTCACATCTCACCAAATGCAAATCCAAATCACTTATTGGGCCCATATTCATACAGCCAAAAGGTAGCCCTCTGTTAATATCCACCCTTGGGACTTTTTAAGCAACTTGTTCTCCTGGTATATTAATGCAATTGTCCTATAAAGGGTGGTTCACACATGAGTACTATATTCTCAGTATGTAGTTTTCATACTGCATACTGAATGAGGCATGATGTATTAAACATAATGGATATATCAGAAGAAACCACAGCTGCATCAAACCAAAGGTCTTTCTAATCTAGTGTTTTATTCACATGCAGTTAGCCTGTTGCCACATATGAGAAGCTAATAACTAGGACATTTTAGCACCCTCTCATTTATGGCAATCAGAAACTAATACTCAGCACCATATTGCTGCATATTGAAGGACATATATTGGAATTAGTAGTCGTATCTAGTATCACCTTAAATCTATGCTTCTGCTATAACGCTTCTGGCTACTATGGCCCCATCTACATTGTCATATAAACTCCAGATTATCTGCTTTGAACTGAATTATATGAAAGTGTAGACTCATATAATTAAATTTAAATCAGATAATGTGGATTATCCACTTTGATAATCTGGATTATATGGCACTGTAGAAGGGGCCTATGATATCTTGAAGCAAGATATTATTTTGATTAAGTTCCATGTAAAATATCGCATTTTACCTATACTACATTTTTTCACATTTGGTTTTAATAGATGATCTTTGGTTTTAATCATCATAATCCGAGTATGATTGTTTTTCAAATGTAGAGTCTTGGTGGTAGGTCTGTAAATGTCTATAGAAAGCTATTCTTTAGTGTCAAGATATGGAATCCCTCCACATCCTATTTCACATCCCATGCACAGTTTTATGCAGTCAATGTGTGCATTCGACTGCAAGGTTTAAGCCCTGCTTCATAGCAATTCTTTCAGCCTTCCATCACATCCTTGCTTGCTATGCGATCACTGCAACAAAGAATCATATCATGCCACCTCAAACCATGGTGTGTGAAGCCCAATGAAAGCTCCAAATCATAATTTGACATGACTTAAAAATCTGAAGCAGTAATCTTATGACAAGGCATTACAATTAGATCCTAAATAGAGACTGATTTGAGCAATGGCAAACCATGATGTTGGCATAGATCTCTCTCTCATGCACACACAGACCAACACTCACTCACTCACACTCAAGCAGATGACCCGACATTGGTGTGGTCATGTCAGAGATCTAAATGTCTGTGGAAAGCTATTCTTTAGTATCAAGATATGGAATCCCTCCACATCCTATTTCACATCCCATGCACAGTTTTATGCAGTCAATTTGTGCATTCGACTGCAAGGTTTAAGCCCTGCTTCATAGCAAAAGAGTTTAGAAGTGTGACCAAAGATATTTGATGTACAGAGCCTACTCTAAGAGTTATGATGAGAGAGGGTTACAAAGAAACACATTCATAATTAGATGAAGGTCAGAGCTACATTTCTTTCTGTTCCTTATGCAACTGAGCTTCTAACATTACCAAAGACAATTTGGCTGGCTGTATTCCTGGGCCAATCCCTTCCATTCATATAGACACATATACATAAAAGTTTGTGCACAGAGATTTCCAAGCTGCTTCCCTGCAGAAAATCTCAGGACATCATAAAATGTGTGAAAACAGCATTTTTCTGTTAAATGATCCATGCACATTGAGCATTTATTTATATGTACCCATTCAAACCTAGGTATGAGGGAAACAAAAAGGCAGCTGATTTGTACTTCTAAGATCTGATATTTTCATAAAGAAGGTGACATTTAATAACTTCAGTGAAATGAACCAAGAGCAAATTGGATTATATCTTAGTAAAATACAGAAACGGTGTGCTCAAGGTCTTGATATCATTGTTCCTCTGTCACTCTGTTGTCTGCAACATAGATTGTGTGAGAGTTTTGCTCTTACTGCACCGCAGGAGAGGGAGATGAGAGAAATTTAGTGTGGCATATCAATGACATTAAAACACATGGAAAGTAGTGAATGTGCACATTTATTTCCCGTATCAATGACTTTTTAATCTTCCTGGGGAATTACAAGATGACATTTTAGCTTTTTTGCTTATTGACTTCTTTGCTTTCCCTTGGGCTGCAGGGGAGATAATTTTGACTGACTATGGAGATGTACTATATGATATTAAGAACAGTAATGGTATGTTCTCTCATTTCTCCTTTTTAGGTTTAGGCTTGGCTTTCAACTTGCAGCCTGCTCTGACAATGATTGGCAAGTATTTTTTCAAAAAACGTCCCATTGCTAACGGACTGTCCATGGCTGGGAGTCCAGTCTTTCTAAGTACTCTAGCACCTCTCAATCAGTTTCTTTTTAATGCTTTTGGCTGGAAAGGAAGCTTTCTCATTTTGGGAGGTCTTCTTTTGAACTGCTGTGTAGCTGGATCACTGATGAGACCTGTTGAACCAAGCCCTGCTGCAAAAAAGGATGTGGAGAAGGGGAAAGGAGAGTCTGCCTTGCGCAAGAATGACAAGAAATCCATTTGGCAAACCATCAATAAATATTTGGATTTATCCCTCTTCAAACACAGAGGCTTTCTCATTTATCTGTCTGGAAATGTAATTATGTTTCTAGGCTTCTTTGCCCCAATTGTATTCTTAGCACCTTATGCCAAGCACAAGGGAATCGATGAATATTCAGCGGCTTTTTTACTCTCCATCTTGGCTTTTGTAGATATGTTTGCTAGACCTTCTATGGGCCTCCTTGCAAACTCAAAATACATCCGACCCAAAATCCAATACTTCTTTAGTTTTGCTGTTTTTTACAATGGGGTGTGCCACATCATGTGCCCATTGGCCAATGACTACACAGGACTTGTTGTGTATGCAGTACTTTTTGGTCTTGCCTTTGGAATGGTTAGCAGTGTCCTTTTCGAAACATTGATGGATCTGGTTGGTGCTGCAAGATTTTCCAGTGCTGTTGGACTCGTCACAATTGTAGAGTGCTGCCCTGTTCTTGTAGGGCCTCCATTAGGAGGTAAGTAGATGATGATGATGATGATGATGATGATGATGATGATGATGATGATGACGATGATAGATATATGCAACTAACAGTTTTGCAGATTAAATCAGTATGTAAAATATAATTCCCTACACACATTTTTTTTAAATCTGGTACTATTTTCTTTCCCCCACATTTCTTTATAGCCTGTACAATAAAGCAGTTAAATCATGTATGAATTTTTTTAAAAAAATGTATCCCAACCTTCTTCCTGGCTTTCAGAAAGGTGTCCTCTCACTTCCACCCACATTTCGAAAAAGACATTATTTGGCTTGCTGATTAAATTCATCCCAATCCTTCAGCTAACCTATCATTCCCTTCTACTCTATCATTTGCAGCTGTCTTTCTGAAAGCATGGCACAATATACATTAGACCAGTGGTGCACATCCTGTGGCCCTCCAGATGTTTGGGACTCCAAATCCCAGAAGTTCTGGCCAGCTTGTCCAATGATTACGAATTCTGGGAGCAGACATCCAAAATACCTACAGGGCCACAGATTGTGTACTACTGAAGGTGTACTACTGTCTCACCTAGACACTGAGAGGTATTATGAAGATTTGACTTTTTCTGGCCTCTCCTTTCAATTCTTTATTTCTTCTATCATTCCTCAATATTACTGCTTCTCATACCATTTCCTATGCAACTGTTCAATTGGTATCAATTCACAGCACAGTTTCCCTTTTGTGATAGAAGAAACTACTGAAGTCTGGTATCAAGTATAGGACTAGTTGAGTCTATGTATGACCTTGGTTTCTGAATTTAATTTAAATTTTCATTAAAATAGATATTACAGGAACAGCATATTTCCACTTATCAGTTTGTTAGGAAGTAGACACAACACACAAGAAAAGGCTTGTTATATTCCTTCCCCAAAGCAAGTATAGTTTCTTCCAGTGAAAACTTCCAGACAGTCAGAAGACTTATTTTTTTGTCTTAAGTAGAATGTTCAAGTCTCCCCTTTAATGTATTATTTCAAGTGACATCATCTTTCATTGATATGATATTCAATTATCTTCATTTTTTCTGCTGTTAGTACATGAAGAATATGTGAGGTATATAAAACTATGCCTAGACAGAGATGCATCTCAGAGGAGACACTGGGTGTAAAATTAATGCAGTTTGACACCACTATACCAGCCATGGCTCAATGTTATGCAATCTTGGGAACTGTAGATGGGTGAGGCACCAGCACTCTTTAGAATAGAAGGTTAAAGACCTTATAAAGTTGCAATTCTACAGTGTAGATGCACCCACTGACACAGATTCTTCCTGTTTCCTGCTTAGAACTAAAACAACTCATGAAATTGCTTTGAGTTTAAAGGCTGCTGCATTTCAATAGAATTGCATAAAGGGCTTTATAGATTGAAGTTATATCAATGGATATAAAAAAGGAAGAAAACTGAAAGGTTCTTATGTCTTTGAACCAGTTGAAATCATGTGTATATGTATTAATGTTATTGCTGCTGAAATTACAGCTCAGTGCACATTTTCAAAACAAGGATTTTAATTTGAACCAGTTTACTTTTTGGTGTTGACAAATAAATCTATGAACAAAACATTGAATAAGCACGGCTGAATTAAATAGCTGTCTTTAATTATGATGACAGGGATTTTTTTTCTTGAAGTTGAATTGACTACTGAAATTCTCAGTATGCCACCTAGTGGAGTGAACCTAATTTCTAACAGGATCCACAAGCAGAAGATATGGGTGACTTGATTCTGAGTAAATATGCTAAGATTCTATTACAAGACTTAAAGTCTTTTGCTGAAGTTGCCCAACTTGATTCAACAAGTACCTTTTCAAAAAGTGTCTTCTCACCATACTATTATGCCATCTATTTTTATTACAAGATTGTGAGATCTTTCATTTTATTTTGATGTCTCTTCTGCCCATTCATTGGTGCTTGGATCCCATTCTTCAATATTTGTTTTATTTAGTCAAAAGAAATTATACACATGATTGTCAGTGTAGGCTGGTGCCTCTTTCCTTCTGTGATCTCTTTCTGCCCTCCCTCATTACAGATGCCTATTATATGAATATAACTGTATCATTTTGAAGCCAGGAATAAATGCCACAATTTCAGGTTGCTTATCCATTATCTGAAATATTTGGAACCAGAAATGTTTGTGGTTTCAGTTTTTCCAGATATTGGAATACAGGTTGGTCCCCCAAATTACATACATTCATTCCTGAAAGAGTTATCATGGGGAAAAGTTGTCTCCAGTAAAGTTTTATCACTAGTTCTTGATTCCACAACAAGTCAAAGTTTTCAAATTCCAATTAACACTGGGAGAGAAAGTGAGGTACAAAAATCAAATAATCATTTTTTGTGTAAGAGAATGGTATATTTTTTAAATCTCCATCTTTTTTCTTTCAGGTTTACTTGTGGATATAACCGGAGATTACAAATACATGTATTTTGTCTGTGGTGTAATTGTCATTGTTGCGAGCATTTGGCTGTTCATTGGGAACGCGATCAATTACAGACTTTTGGCAAAGGAGAAGAAAGTAGTAGAAGAAAGGCAGAGAGCACTAAAGAATGCCGATGCGAAGGAAGTAGAACCTTTGACCTACAAAGAGAGTGAAGAATCAGTCAGCAGATCAAGCAAAATGCAAGATAATCCTTCAGAAAGAGAAACCAATATGTAGCACAAAACCTGTTGTACAAATACTCATATTTATAACTTCCATTAGAAGTATTTCTTCAAGTACAGGCCAGGTTTTATAGTAATTATAGTCAGTCACAATACTGAATGGGAATAGAAGTTTCCAAAAAGTAAAATCTAGACCACAATCCTGCTTATTCTGTACAGAAAGAGAAAGGTGCTGATCAATTCTCCATACTCTCCTGTCCCTCCCTACCATGCTTCCCCTGCACTAGTAGCAATGTTGTTCTGCCAAGTAGGTATTACAATATGGTCAGGTGGAATTATTCTCCACCTTGCCTTTGCTCCAAATGAATTTGTGTATTATGATCCAACTTAGGATGGGTTATATGAACTGCTGCATCATTGCAATATCCCAAATAGAAATGCTGCCATAGATGTTTAGGATCAGGGTATAACTGTTGAACAACAAATTTAAAGCAACCAGTCACCTCTGCCTCCCATGCATACAAGCAGGGATGTGAAAATAGCCTCAGCTTCCTTTTCACTAGGTGTTCCAAAATTTCTTCATCCTTCTTGTCCTATCTTGTTCAAGATCCATGTAAGGTCATACGATTTCTTTTTCTCCCCATATGCAGATTTGTATCTGTATTGGTATCCACTATTCCTAATATATACATTTTAACATATATTTTTTCTTAATCTTTTCATGTATTTCTCCATTCGCTAAAATGATTCCTGTTTATGAATATTCTCAAATGTATATTTTTTTTTAATATTTGCTCTCACATAATTTGAACAAGTAAGGCAAGGCAGAGGAAATGGAGGATTGTAGTTTTCTCCTGATAATGGGAAATCATGGATTGAATATACTGTATTCATTAAAAAGAAAACACAAATCATGCAAATGTCTTTTCTAGACCTATTTGCATCAAGGGTTCAGGGGAAGCATGGTTTGTGAGAGAAATGAGCTGTTTCTCTAACTGCTCTTCATGCATGGATGGAGCAGGATTGTGGCATTATATTATGTTTTATTTTGGTGTCAAGAGCATTAGAACTCCTGCTAAAAATGGTGCAAGTGGGTCTGTTCAAATACAGACCCTAATTAGGTAGAGCTTTGATTATGGTCTTCCAGGAACAAGGATTTTTTTGCTCCAAATGAATTTCCAGTGCAACATTCATGTGCTTATCTAGAAAAAGGAAGACAACAGTCTTAATCCTCAAGAGAGATTTTAGCGAATGCCTATTTGGACACTTAGAAGGAAAGAATTTCAGATCATGAAGATGAAACTTTTAAGAATGGAGTAAATGTTCACCTCTACCTGAGTAAAGAAAACGCACAAAAATGAATCACTGTTGTATAGTGCATTTTCAGTAGATCAAAACGGTCTATTATTTCTGATAAAAACTATGTGAATTATAGACACACACACAACCAGATGTGGGAAACTGTCAATGTTTTTACTAAATGCAATGCATATTATCATTACAGTGAATAAAAGGGTTATTTCCTTCTACTGTAATAGATTAGGAATTGTATTTAATGACCTAATCCTAAGACTTGCATTTTGACTTAGGATGGGTTGTATGAACTGCTGCATCATTGCAATATCCCAAATAGAAATTCTGACACAGATGTTTAGGATCAGGGTATAACTTTTGAACAACATGTTGCCTTGTCATCATCACTTTACTTCACACACGTTTGAAATTTGTAGCATTCATGGTTCTTAAAAAAACACAACTGCCACATTGCTATCTATTCTCAAGTAGCTGTTGTGAGGGCTTGCTATGCACATTGACTTCCCCTAATGAAACTGCAGTGAACGCAACATCAGTCCATTACTTTTGTAGACCATATGTGTTCAAGAATTCATAGGCTGTCAGGGACCAGATAAAATAAATTTGATGGCTACATCCAGCACATGGATCACAAACTGGCTATACATCATATGATCTTTATGATCAGAGTCCGAAACTGCAAATACAGTGCAAGCTCTTTCTTCCTCTGCAGGTAGAACCAATTATGTGAAGGCCAAAGAAATATTCTTATTGGTGTCATCCAGTTGTGGACCAATTTAATCTGGAACAGTGGTGCGATCCAGAAAGAAGTCTAATGCAGAGGTTCAGGGCCTGTCAATCTGGAAGTATAAAGCAAACCAAAGGTGCTCCTATTGTTCATGTAAAGCAGATCTTTCCAAAACCTTTCCAAAACCTTGAAGAAAGCAGGTCAGCAGCACAGGGTTATGGGGAAATGTTGCTGTTGGTTGATTTTTTGAAAAGAAAAACATTTCTGAAGTCAATTTTCCAGGCTTTTGTTCATTGACAGACTCTTCTATTAATAGGATAAATAAATAGATCACTTCAATCATTTAACTTGGATATCACTGTCAGCCTGGCAATGTGAGGTAAGATTACAGAGCAACCATGAATGGGATCTTAAGTACATCATTTGAACTAGATTTTCATGTCTCTTCTTTAATGTCATATACATCTCTCACTTTTAATTATACTGAGGATAATGGCTGGCATCCTATTGATGACATGTACAGGCATAGGTTCCCCTAGATAAGTGATTGGATAGAGCAAAGGATATTTCTCTGATTTCCTTACCTTGATCTTTGATCCTCTATTTACTACCAGGGTTTGTTTAAGCTCTTCTGGTGCCTAAGGTAAACAACCAAATGGAGTCCTATCATCACTACAAGTCCAGGTGAATCATATACAAAGCCTTCCAAGTTCATAACCAAGACAGGCAATCCTACCTTCATCTTTCTCATCTCTGACAGTAAAAACAAAGAAATAGATAGCATTCTGCTACCTCTTCAGGATAGCTGCCTTGATGTATCCACCTTATCCTGCTTATTGATGGGGACAGTGCACCACTGAGAGGCTGTCTTTCTTCTGCAGAAATCACACTAAACATTCTTCAGTGTCAGAACAACAGTGAACTTTCAGTTAGTCATCTCGTTTAGTCTGCTATAGACTTCATTGCTTCAATGAACTTAAGGAAACAGATCAACTAGGAGCACCTTAGAGAATTAGCATAGTTGCCTTCATGGTTTTCCTCAAGAGTCAGTCTTTATTTGTGCACAATAGCTAGGATCCTAAAGTCACTCCATATGTAACCCCCTCAGATTTTTCCTTTTTGCCACAGTGTTTCTTCAGTGTTGTAGAGGTAAGCTACTGGTCCATTGAAAAAGTGGTTTGTCACTTCTGCAATGGAAACAGGTGTGGTGAAACCACCAAACTGAACTTTTGTTTTACAGCATCCCACACTAGCAAACAAAATTCTTCCTTTTTCATATCTTCTGCTTGTGGATCCCAGCTCATATGTATTATTTTGCTGGAATATGTAAATAATGAAGATGCGAAACATGAATGTACATGAACAAAACGGAACAAATCTTCAGCGCAAAAGAATAAATTTCCGCAGTTCTTTGCAAGCCTTCCTTTACCAGAATGTAATCTTCATTATTCATATCTTCTGGGAATGTTTTTTTATTGTGTTTGATAAATAAAATTGATTTTTAATAGATGAAAAAATACTTCAACAAATGATTTGTTTTCTGCAGCAGAATACTTGACTTTTTTTACTTTCTTCCACTCATACATTAATAAAGAATTCATTAAAAGAGAAAATTGCAATATTTTGCAATTGCTGTACTACTCTGCTGTATTATTCTGCCACAGTCTTGTCTGAAATATTGCTGCATATTTTAACTACTGTCAGAATATAAGGAATCACCTTTTTAAAAAAACAAAAACAAAAAAGAATGTATTTGTTGTAATGATTATTTCCGAACAAACTGTACTTTGAATTATAGTTGTTTTATTTTTAACTGAGTTTGCATCTAGAATATTAAACAGACACCAAACTTAAGCTTCCTATAGTAAAAAAAAAAGCTCTTGTGTGGCTTGCAAGTTTATGGTCATGTATAATGTTTGAGATGTGAGAGTGTGAGGGGACATAGCTTGGTGGACTATAACAAAGATTTTTAAGCATGCAAACCAGATCTACAAATCATCGATGGTTCCAATCCTATATCTAGAGTGGCTTAGAATTCAGGCCCACTGAATAAATATAAATCACATTGTACTGCAAGAGAGATACCACGGTTCTTCCTCACTGTATTCATATACTCTCAAGTCCTGAAATAATGAGAGTAGAATAAGGGCTCTGTTATATTTTTATGTGTTGGAGGGAAAAGATCTGAACAGGGGAGCCTGCTGTGCTCATGAAACATTTTTCATGACTTCCAACTTTGACTATATTTGTATGAGAACTGTAAGGCTATAAAAGCCATGATATCATAGCCATGTTGTCAACAAGAATGTAGAAGATGGATTCCATCAAACCAGAACCTTTTTGAGTCACATTAACTCAATGCTTTGCAATGCTTTTGCTGAAATGGATGGGATTTAAACTATTCACCGGGCTGTTTATTCACAATAATGAGGTATATTGAAGTTGCCCACATTCTTTCTTTGTTATGTTTTTTTAAAATCAATCTATTATTTTATAGTGTCTTCCAATGTAGTTGTATAATAATGACAAATTCAATTCTCATCAAGCACAGAGAACAGGCCAAATTTCATCATCCTTTGTAGATTTTCTGTAAGTAGATATAAGACAACGAGGGGGAAAGGCATAATATAGTTTTTAAAAATATATTGAAAAGTTCCTCACGTAACCAAACTGGTTTCCCCAGCCAGGTCTAATGATGAGTAGTGAGATAATGAATATTGTATTGTCACACATTTAGCGGGTGTTTTGAGGAAGCGGTTATAATCCAAAATAAGTCTATCTTTTAGAGAAGACCATTAGGTAAGATGTTCTCAGAGTAGCCGAAATTCTAATCGCTATTGGATATGCATATTTATTTTCTTACCCCTCATTGTCTATATGATATCTCAAAGAGAGAGAATCTATATTACTTCTAAAAGCAGGTATCTGAAGGAAGTTACTACTCTTCCTCCTCATCTGTACATTCTGCTTGCTTAGTGAGGGAGACAAGACCAAGAAGCAACATAGGATTATTTCTGAGCCCATAGCCCTGAACAGATACCCATGAAACCAATTCCTGGAATTGGTTAGTTTAAAGACAGTATTTGCATTTTATTCTCCTTACTCTTACCTTACTTCCTATCTGTTCTGCCTCTTTCTCTCAAACCAGCCCCCCCCCCCTTAATTGTTTCTCAGCATATTGTCTGAAATGTTTCATTTAGCCACCATATCCTTAGTTTTCTCTAATCTTCTGATCTTTTTTCCAGTCCACAGTTTGCCACATGAAGAGAGATTTGTCCCTAAGGCCATTGTGAGCTTTTAGTCCAAGTCAAACCAATAATTTTCTTCTCAAAAACATGTCTTCAGACATCCTGTCAGCTTTGCTCCTTGAGCACTTAGGATTCATGTGAACATTCCGTGCCATCACACCAACTCAACTCAACCAAATGATGTCAGAAGCTTCACTGCTAGAAGCACTATACAGGAAAGACAAATGATGTTAAAGTTTCAAAAAAATGTTCTATTTGTGCTGCATAATTAAAAAAAGAGTAAATGAAACTGTGATGCTCACAGTTAAATTTGCTTGCAAGGGGAATCTATTATTGTAGGAATCTTTTCATTACATCTCCAGGCTGAATGCTGTTGAATAGTTCCAACTAAAGTAAGCCCACTGGATCACTTGTCGGCTTCAACACGATAATATTCAGGCAATGATTTTTGAGTTCATCTCAACTGATTTATGTGTCTACGATATTATTCATTTCCTCTTTTTTGAGGGGGTGGGTATTCAATGCTACAAATCATAGAATCATAGAATCATAGTTGGAAGAGACCTCATGGGCCATACAGTCCAACCCCTTGCCAGGATGCAGGAATATTGCATTCAAAGCACCCCTGACAGATGGCCATCTAGCCTCTGTTTAAAAACATCCAAAGAAGGAGCTTCCACCACACTCCGTGGCTGAATGGCTCTCACAGTCATGAAATTCTTCCTCATGTTCAGATGGAATCTCCTTTTTTGTAGTTTGAAGCCACTGTTCCATGTCCTAGTCTCCAGGGAAGCAGAAAACAAGCTTGCTCCCTCCTCCCCGTAACTACCTCTCACATATTTATACATTGCTATCATATCTCCTCTCAGCCTTTTCTTCTTCAGGCCAAACATGCCCAGCTCCTTAAGCTGCTCCTCATAGGGCTTGCTCTTCAGACCCTTGATCATTTTAGTCACCCTCCTCTGGACACATTCGAGCTTGTCAATATCTCTCTTCAATTGTGGTGCCCAGAATTGGATACAATATTCCAGGTGTGGTCTAACCAAGGTGGAATAGAGGGGTAGTATTACTTCCGTAGATCTAGACACTATGCTCCTATTGATACAGGCCAAAATCCCATTGGCTTTTTTTTACCACCACATCACATTGTTGGCTCATGTTTAACTTTGTCCATGAGGACTCCAAGATCTTTTTCACACGTACTGCTCTCAAGCCAGGCGTCCCCCATTCTGTATCTTTGCATTTCATTTTTTCTGCCTAAGTGGAGTATCTTGCATTTGTCCCTGTTGAACTTCATTTTGTTAGTTTTGGCCCATCTCTCTAATCTGTCAAGATCGTTTTAATTCTGCTCCTGTCCTCTGGAGTATTGGCTATCCCTCCCAATTTGGTGTCGTCTGCAAACTTGATGATCCTGCCTTCTAACCCTTCATCTAAGTCATTAATAAAGATGTTGAACAGGACCGGGCCCAGGACAGAACCCTGCTTGTGGCACTCCTCCTCACTTCTTTCCAGGATGAAGAGGAAGCATTGGTGAGTACCCTCTGGGTTCGTCCATTTAACCAATTACAGATCCACCTCACCGTAGTTTTGCCTAGCCCACATTGGACTAGTTTGTTTGCCAGAAGGTCATGGGGGACCTTGTCGAAGGCCTTACTGAAATCCAGGTACGCTACATCCACGGCATTCCCCGCATCTACCCAGCTTGTAACTCTATCAAAAAAAAAAGATCAGATTAGTCTGGCATGACTTGTTTTTGATAAATCCATGCTGACTATTAGCGATGACCGCATTTGTTTCTAAGTGTTTGCAGACCACTTCCTTAACAATCTTTTCCAGAATCTTGCCTGGTATCGACGTGAAGCTGACTGGGCGATAATTGTTTGGGTCATCCTTTTTTTCCCTTCTTGAAGATTGGGACCACATTGGTCCTCTTCCAATCTACTGGAACTTCTCCCGTTCTCCAAGAACTCTTAAAGATGATTGCCAATGGTTCTGAAATGACTTCCGCTAGTTCCTTCAATACTCTTGGGTGTAGTTGATCTGGCCCTGGGGACTTGAACTCATTTAGAATGGCCAGGTATTCCAATTTGGGGTTGGATATCCACTAATCCCTCATCCACTCCATCTTGTTGAGGTTGAAGATGACTTTCTTTTTGTGAGAAGACTGAAGCAAAGAAGGCATTAAGTAGTTCTGCCTTTTCCCTATCCCCTGTCAGCATTACCCCATCTTCTCCTCGAAGAGGCCCTATCACCTCCTTGTTCTTCCTTTTTCTACTGACATAAGAAAAAAAGCCCTTTTTATTGTTCTTTGTGTCCCTGGCAAGCCGGAACTCATTTTGTACTTTAACCTTACGGATCTTTTCCCTACAGGAGTTGGCTATTTGTTTGAATTCTTCTTTGGTGATTTCTCCCTTTTTCCACTTCTTGTGCATGTCTCTTTTGTGTCTTAGCACAGTCTGTTGGAAACTAGGAAATCAATCCACTGTACCTCTTTTGGGGTTGACTTATATTGTCACAGGTTTCTGCAAGCATAGCACAAAGATCTTTTATGGTGATGAGTTAATCTAGTTCAGTGGATCTTAACGTTTGGTCCTGCAGATGTTTTGGACTTCATTTCTCATAATTCCTGAGAATTGTGCATACTGGTTGGTACTTCCAGCAGTTGAAATCTAAAACATCAGGAATACCAAATATTGAAAACCACTGACCTTGTCACAAGTTGTTTTTTTCTGGAAAATATTTCCATATATTTTTCTTTTCCTTGCTCTCTCTGAAACAAAAGCCCTTGTTTTTTTTTTTTGTTTTCTGAATATTCTCCGTCATATATTGTGACATCCCTCATTCACCCCATTCAATATCCTGGGCTATAGTTTGGCCTGCAGATTGTGAATGAGACAGCATTTTCCACAAGAAGTCAACTGTCCTACTCCCACTGCCAATGCTAAGACTCACCCTTCCCTCTTGGGAAAAAATAAAATGGAATCCCACCAACACCAACACCACCACCACCACCACTGCTTGGTTTAATTTTTGTGGGCTGTAATCTACAGTCACCTCTATCAAGAGAGACCTTTTGAAAAACCAATGTTTTCTCATAACAGACATGAGTCCTCATTGCCGCTGCATATTGCTACAAATATCCTTTATGGCAGCACAAAGAAGTGTTATAACAGAGTAAATCAGCAAGAATACCCTAACTGCAGAGTATTTTGCAATATTTGTACATGGGTGTAGGTAGAACAAATTTGATTAAGCATCTTCAGAAGGTTAGAAGACAAGGACAGGAGGAGGGCTTTAAACACTATTGTGAAGATCAACTCACTCTGAACTAAATTTATTTAATGGGGAGGAGAGCATGGCAGAGCAGTGACAAAGTCTACACAAGATTATTGTAGGTTTTTATGGCTATATGACCGTGTTCTAGAAGCATTATCTCCTGACATTTTGTCTGCATCTATGGCAGGCAACCTCGGAGGTTGTGAAGTCTGTTGGAAACTAGGAAAATTGGATTTATATCTGTGGAATGATAGTTTTTAGGTGTGGCTTTGTTGAGGGGGAATCCTTTGTTGAGGGGTCTGGAGTTACTAACAAGCACTAACAAACCACACCTAAAAACTGTCAAGCCATCAAATGCTAATCAAGATGGCCAATAGAACCATTCACACCTAGCTCCAAGAGACAATAGTTCTTTCTCCCACCCTGCACTTTCCACAGATACATAAATCCAATTTTCCTAGTTTCCAACAGACCTCATAACCTCTGAGGATGCCTGCCATAGATGCAAGTGAAATGTCAGGAGAGAATGCTTCTAGAACATGGCCATATAGCCCAAAAAACCTACAACAACCCAGTAATTCCGGTGATGAAGGGCTTCAACAATACAAGGTCTTACACGTTTTCATAGTTATAAATTATTCCATGTAGGGCTCATTAGATTCATATTTTTTTGTCTCAGTATTTAAAAATAAACAAAATGAAAAGTCTTTCTTTTAGCTTTAATGTAATTTTGTGGATTCTGGTGGAGTTTTATTCGTTTTCATTCATTTGTGAAGGCTTGGCGGGCTATGACTTGAATTGATTATGTGACAACTGGTGTTCCATGAGTTTCAAATGAAATTTATCTGCATTTTGTGCCTCCATCTATTTTATGTTGTCATCTTTTTAAAACTTACATACGTATATTTGATGTGGATGAATTGTTGTCTCTCACTAGAGTATGGTCACAATCCA